TGTTTTAGCTGGGGATTTAGCTCAGTGGTTTCACCGCCTGCTGCCCAAGAGCAAGGACCCAAGTTCGATCCCCGGTACCAAAAAAAAAAAAAAAAAAAAAAATGAACGAACTGTTTTGATTAAAATGAAAGAAATCACCTTTGTTTAATTAAAATGACCTCTTCTTTCCTCTTCAAGATACATATTTAAACAAGCCCTTATCTTTGCAGAGAATTTTCCAGTGTACAAATGTTTCACAGTAGAGAATATTTTTTAAATGACAAGTTCATGTATTTTACAATATTGAGATTCTAATATGTGCCAGGCTCTATTATAAGGCTCTAGAAATACAAGAGTGAACAAAACAAATGCTAACCTTTCCACCTCCTCAAATAATTCATTTTATTATAAGAAGATAGACAACAAACAAAATAGGTAAATAATATAGCATATTAGAAGATGATAAATGCTATAGAGAAAGGGAAAAAAGGCAGGAACCAGAGATGGGAGGTGGAGAAGCTTGAAGTTTTAAGTACATAGTCAGGGCAAACCTCACGGAAAAGGTGACATTAAGCAGACTTGAAGGAGTTGAAGGAAGTAGCCATGCAAATATCTCAGGAAATAAGCAGCAGGTACAGAAAGTACAAAAATCTTGAAGCAGGCAAGTAACTTGGTAAGGTAGCAGACTAGCAAGGAGACCAATGTGGGTGAAGCAGAGTAAACACAGAACAAGTCATATAGGATATTGTCAGGAGTTTGGCTGTTATTCCGAGATGGGACACACTGGGTTTGAACAAAGTTGTGGGAATCAGGAAATTTTAAATAATTCAGCATATTATTCACTCAGTCAGTCCTGGCAGGATATTGAAGGCACAGTTCCAAGGGAATTTTGAGGACAAAGTAATGAAAAATCATTACAGAAATGTGGTTAGTTAAGGGACTCAACAAGGAATACTAAGGCATTCAATGGCCAGTACATTGGAATGCCGTTACCACACTTGGATCTAAAGGAGACCAGTGACAGTTGGAGCTATAGAAGGGGGTCTGATCGGAAGTATAGTTATAGAGGTATGTCAGAATCTCAGTCTAGCTGGAAGGAAGAGGAGAAGAAACAACCCAAACTCTTCTTGTACTGCCCTCTGATCTTGTGCCAGTAGCTCTCAGTGGCTAAATCCAACCAGAAGCTAGAGAACAAAGGATCTTTAGTAATGAAGGCCATAATACCTCATTCCTAGAATGCATAAAAGGATAGAAGAGCATGGAAGGGAGAAGGCAGTGGCATCAGGCAATGACCAGTATACTTAAGTGTAAAAAGAGCTGAAGAAGAGACATTTTGTGGACCCACTTATATATTGACTGTTGCATATAAAACCAAGAATCCAAACTTGTCCTTTGAGAATATAGATTTATAAAACCTTATCACTAAAAATGGTCACTCTCTTAATCAACCTTATTTTATAGCTAAAGAAAGTGATATCACAGAGATGACGACCTGCTCAAGGACACACAGCTAGAGAGAATGCTGCAGAGCCTCCCATGGTACCAAAGTTCCCTAACATCTCATTTTCTTTCAACTGTACTTTTCCTATTTTAATTGTTTTTCTGTCTTTTATGTCCTTCTAATTCCTTTCTAAATTCCTCTATTTAATAAGTTAACTCTATAAAGTTAAATAATCCAAGATACTGTTCAACTGTTCAATAGAAGGAGGGAAAAGTAGTTTCTAAAAGAAATCTTCCAATACACAATGTGTGCATTTGAATGCTACAAAGATTTATCTATGTGCTTTTTTTCCTATGTGCTTTTTTATCTCACTGAGAAAATAAGGCTCAGTCCTCAGCCTCTCTAAAATTCTGCTTGTTGCAAGTTCTTTGTCAGGTGGCTTTATCACACTTATCTAATAATTACATTTTAGCAAAATGACTTTTTTCACTTTTTAAATGTGGTATTTTAGTTTTATCTAATCAAAATTGATGCCTTTAGGTTACAGTTATGGTTTTCATTGAGAAAAAATAGTTTCTCTTACAGGTACTAAATTAGTTGTTTTCTACAAACAATCCTCCTATGGTTTCCTGCTACACTTAAAATAAAATAAGATGTTCCTTCACTTGGCCAACAAAATTCCTCATTATCAGATGCACCAGCTCACTTCCTGCCACACAATGGCTTCCACCACAAAGCCAATGTACAGTACTTGCCCATCTCTCTATCTAAAATGCTCCTCCTTCACAATTGACAAGCCTGTCCTTGGTTCAAAGAGCCCTTCCTCATGTCACCTGCAGGGCATCCACCTAAAAGGCACAGCCCTCTCCCCTGCATTTTTTTTCTTAATACTTATAAATACTTGAAATTACTACATTTCTCTGTCTTTGGTGTCTGTTTCCCCTGTTAAAATATAAGACCTATTAGAACAAGGACTTTCCTTTTGTTGAGTAGTTCACAACTAGTTCACAATTAGTCAAGAGCCCAACAAAGAGCCCAGCAGGTATGAGGCCTCTAATATGCATTGAATGAATAAACAAGCAGAGTTGATATTTTCTATTATATTTGCAGCTGGGTGTTCAAGACATAAGTATGATGCTATTTGGGAATTTTAACAGCAAAATAACACATTTCTAATGAAATAATAAGTAAGTTATTTTGAACTCAGTAGTGAAGCTTAGAAAATTCAGTGGTAAATATTTGAATAATATGAATGAATTATACCCACATAATTTATCTTTCTTTAAAACATGCATTTTAGGGGGAGGATTTTTTTCCCCTTAGAATGTAGAACCATTGAATTGATGGAGTACTCATAAAACAAACAAAAAGAAATGTGTAAAAGTTAAAAATCTAGAATTACATCAGTTGTCAAGTAAACATGCAATATGCATAGAAGAAAAATTATTATCAAAATCCAGAAAAAAATAAGTAGATTAAAATTCTAAACATCTGAAAATGGAAATATATTTATAGCTAATCAATTTTTCTTAAAAATAGGTAAATGTCACAAAATGCATGTCAAAATAATACTGTCACTATTACTTAGTAGGGATTTGATAGTCAAAAGTGAAAAGCCACTAAGGTTATTTTTTCATCTATGTCTTCAGCTTAGTGGCTTCGTTCTCTTCTAAAGATCCCAGGTTAAGGATGGGGGAGGGGATTATTAATTTGCCAAGATGTAGCTCATTATATGGCCATTTTAAGTAATATTAAAATCCTTCTGCAAATATGGACTATGGGTTGAGTTTTTAATGAGCATGAATGTTTTCAAATTAGAATTTCAAGTATTTTAAAGTTCAATGGTTAAATGGTTTTATTTCTATGGACTAAAGACTAATTATTTTGGAATTAAGATATAATTTCTATCTGTGCCTTTCAACCCTTGGCTCCTACCAGGTTAAAGTAGTCCAATCAGCTGATTAGAATGATCTTCAGATTATCAGTCAATGTTTAGATGATCCCTCATGTCTACATCCAACTTATGCAAGCTTCTGCACTCACATTTTTTTTTAAAAAACTCTGTGCACTAGTAATGTTTACAGAAGGAACTATAACCCAGGAGTCTAGAAATTAGAAATATTTTTCAATGTTCTTTTGTAAGAAAGTTACAAATTAAAATTAGAGGTATATTATCACTTGAAGCAATATACAACCACACCTATTTATATACCAAATCATATGGACACATCGGAACAGGTGGTGATGCTTCACTTTATCAAAGGCTATGACATTGAATGTAAATCACTAGCTTATCCATGACAGAATATGACTTCATAAAGTCATGTATGTCTATTTACTATTTTTTTAAGTTAACAAATTGTATTGAAATGGTATTGTCAACAGTTTCATACTGAGTTGCTATCTTGTCTTCTCAAAATGTCAAAGCAATGCCACATCTGTTATCTTTTTCTATACACACTCAGTGGTTTAGGTAGTATAACAGCTCTACACTACAATGCTATTTCTTTTCTTTCTTTTTTTTATAGTTTGCAGGTAATATATTATCTTTTCCTTTTTCTTTTTAAAATTTTTATTTTATCAAAAAGTAAAACAAATTTTTATAATTAAATAAGAAAATGATAGTAATTACACTGTGTATCACTATCTTCAAAGTACTCAGAATACAAAAAAATTCTTACAAAAAAAGGAACAGATAATAACATAAATCTTTCTTTTCAATGAACTAAGATGAACTAGTAGTATAAGTGTAACCAATTACCATACATATTGAAATATTTTTAAAGCCATGGAATTTGTAGTATGGGGAAGTATTTGAACTTCTCCCTATTTCCTATTTATCTCTTTTCTATTTTATTTATTTGTGTTTCTCAAATAAGAAAAACCATGCAATATTTGAGCTTGTGTGTCTGACTTATTTCACTTAACATTACGTTCTCAAGTTGCATCCATTTTTCCTACAAATGCCTCAAATTTATCTCTTTGTGGCAACATAGATTTCCGTTGTGCACAAATACCACATTTTCCTTATCCATTGATCTGTTGATGGTCATATCTGCTGTTTCCAAGATCTAGCTATTATAAATTGTGCTGCTATAAACATGGGTATGCATATGTCCCTGCAATATGAAGATTTTAACTCTTCTGAAGGTACCTAGAAAGGGAATACCTGGGTCAAGTGGAATTTCTATTTTTAGTTTTTTGAGGAATCTCCACATTGATTTCCATAGTGGTTATACTAGTTTACATTCCTACCATGTTTCTTTAGGAATAGGGAAACTGAAGAATTAGTAGATTTGCTTTTCAATCACAAAACAGGCTTATAGCAAAATGAATGCTTACTCCTGATCCCTCCAATTTCTTTGTTACCAGTGGCCACATATAACATTAAAAAAAATGAGAAGGCATATAATCATAAATAGATTTTCAACTCATGTTATCCAACATCAAGTGAAGCATTAAAGCTAGATGGTAAAGCCACAGAACTAGTATTTTAGTTTCCTAAGATTGTAAATTAAATTTCATAATGAAATAACAGGCTAAAATAGGATATTTTATTTATTATTATTTCAAAATATACCTTTTTGTTCACCAAAGTGCCTGTGCTTCAAATGTTTTAGGGAATGAAGGAAATTGTCATTCTTGCGGTACCAGGGATTGAACTCAGGACCTTGCGCTTTTGAGGCAGGTGGTGGAACCACTGAGCTAAATCCTTGGCCAAGGAAATTGTCATTCTTTAAAAAAAAAAAAAAAAAGACATCATTATTTCAGAGAATGTCAAATCCTAAGTGTGTCTAGTAGAAGTTTAATTAGTGGAATCTTTTTTTTTTTTTTGATACCAGGGATCGAACTTGAGACTTTGTGCTTGCAAGGTAGGCGGTAGCACCACTGAGCTAAATCCCCAGTCCTTAGTACAAGTTTAATTAAATGTGAAAATCTTAGATAACTCATTCTCAAGTAAGAATTTGTATATCTCAATCAGATTATGTTTTCCTTTATAAAAATATTTATGGAATTTCATTAGCCTTAGTCCTTTTTCATCGGATTATTTTCCCTTTTGGAATAATATCATACAATGATCTCGCTTCAAGGGTTTATTAATATGATATTGGTCCAGAAATGGAACACTAGAAAAATCATAGTAAGAAATCAGACTATTTGTTTAGACAACTGATATTTATTTCTAACAAATGTGTTTCAGAAACTGAAAACAACTCCATTTGGCATTTTTCTAACAATTTAGTGATGAAAACATAGAAATAAAAAATAAGCTCTCTTGAAGGGGTAAAAGTAATGGGTTTAGCCTAGGGCCTTCGCACTGAATAACATCCCCAGCCCTTTTTAAATTTTATTTGACATAGGGTCTGGCTAAGTCACAAAACTGCCCAGGCTGAGATTAAACTTGAACCCCCACACACACCCTAGACTCTCAGAAAACTGGGATTGCAGGCCTATATCACCATGCCTGGCTAAAAAATAAACTATTTCCAAATGCTAGGAAACCCTAATAACTGAGATACAGGCTGTCCAACTGCTAATATACCCAAACAATGTACAACAGATGTCAGCGTTTGATAGCAAAGGCTAAAGGGTTACTTCTCTCAACCTAGTAGTTAATTTCTACTGCAATTATCTTTTTCTTTTCTCTAACTCAAGGTGTTTAGATTAATGTATCATTGTTATTTTAAATATAATATAAATCATGGGAGTGGGGGGTCAGGTCTTCTTTCTTATCTGCAGCTCACATTTCAGGATCTGGTGACTATGAAATAATTCACTGATACTGATATGGTTAGATAATAACCTAGTAGAATTTAGGGGCATGATGTTTACAAATGGTCAAAAGATTTTTCTACAGCAGTGTTTTCTCTTCAGTGAAAAACAGTCCTTAGTTTTTAAGTGTCTTCCCTCCCTACGCTGTTCTTTCTAAATGTACACTCCATACACTGCTGCAATTTGATGTCTCTGAGGGAAGTACCAGATGTAGGAGAAATGGTCAATTTGGGGGCTCTGGGAATAGTAATCAACGATTCCCATACCCTCCATGTAAGGTTTGTGGGTCCATGCATGAAGCCAGGATAACTGCATGAAGGGCCTTAGCCCTAAGGTTTGGGTCTCCAGGGACCTTTCCAGTTCCAAAGAGTTAGGTTACCATGTTACTTATTAACAAGCTTACCCATACCCAGTAAAGGTACTTACATGTAAGAGTTAAATAAACTCTTCTCCTGGAATCACAGCAAATTCAAAATTGGGAATATGTTAGTAACTCTGAATCTTTTTTTAAACAGACTTCATTTAAGCAAGTAAGCATCCCAATACGTTACCAGAGACACAATTTCTAGCTCAAAGAAAGGTATTATCATTTTGATTAGTTACTTAAAGATTTTTAATTCTTTATGGGTCCACTATGAATTATATATCTTTTTTTGTTGATTAGAGACAGTTATATAATTTATTTTTTTGACCTCTGTGCAATGACTTCATTCATGACAATAACCAGAATTCTTATCATTTCTTTGTAACAGTTTATAAAGTTTATAAAATTCTTTACTTTTTTTTTTTTTTAACATAGGGTGTTTTGTTTGTTTGTTAAGACACAGGGTCTCACTATATTGCCCAGACTGGCCAGAGCTCCTGGTCTCAAATGATCTCTCTGTCTCAGTCCTTCTGAGTTCTACATTTTTGAAGGGCAAATGTACAAAAGAAGCTAAGGTCCTTAACTTTGCAAAACATTATTTTTAAGAGGACTATTTTATCAGTTGAAACACAGAAATCTTGAAACATCTTAATGAAACATTTTAATTTTATAATCCTAAACTGTTTTTTAAGTATCTTTCATTCCCTCTGTACCAGAAAGTTAGCTCATTTCCTGATCTCTTTTAAAGTAGTTTTATTTTTATTTTCATTTCATAATAAATCCTTTACAAATTCTTTAAGGAGAAATGGCCTTACAGATTACTTCTTTTCCCCACTGAATAGGTGGTTTAAGAGTTTCATGACAAGTAATCAAGAAGTCTATATAATAAGGTAATATAATGAGACAACAAGCAATAGGATACTTATTTTTCCAAAAGGCTCATGGTCAACATGGATAATCACTTTTAGTAATCTGGTAAATCAACTCAAAATTAAATCAAACTTTCTAAGTTCATATTGGATTTAACCAGTTGATTTAACTTATTGATGGAAAACTTTCTCTAACAATTACTGAAATTACAGATTTAGAAATGAAACATTCCATCAGCCAGCAATCTCTGCCACTATAGCAGCATAATGTTACACTTTGTTTCTTTTCTCTTTCACCTCCTTAAGAAACAGGGATGTTACGTGGTCTTATTTCACATCCTGACCTCTGTTACTTGGGTTTAAAAAGGACATGGTTTCTACTGAGTTTAAAATATCCACCTATATAAAATACAACTAAGGACCTAAAATTCCGGTGCAAAATCTCAAAACGTCTTTTAGGATAAAATTTTTTTTTCTATTGCTCAAAGATCAGAGACCTGAGAACAATTTATATGCTATGTAAGTTTTGATGCGACTTCTAAAGCTGCAATAGATACGAAATTTATTTCCATCAAGACTTAGATTTTACCTAAATGAAGACTAGTATGTCTAGCCTCCACTGTTTAGAAGAATGGCTTTAGCGTTTTCTTTTGCTGGAAAGTAGCTACCTGATGATAAATTCACCAGTACTTTCATAGCTGCTCTCGGAAGTAGGACAGGAAAGGGTGATTTCTGACTCTTACTGTTGTTCATGGCCCAATCCAAGCCATGTAACACCCTGGCTCCTACAAAAAGTTTTAGAATAAACAAAAGGAAGAACTATAACTATTTAGCACAGTGGGGTCTACATTTACGGAGCCTATAAACTGATTTTGTGTTGAAAGTAAAAACAGTCCCACGAGTTTAAATGAACTCTTTCATCCTAGAATCACAGCAAATTCAGAACTGGGAATATGTTAGTAATTCCGATCTTTTTATAAACTGACTTCACCCTGGGCAAGTAACCATCCCCTGATGCCTTTGTTGGAGACAGAATTTCTGGCTGAAAGATCATTTTTATGATTCAATCTGGCTGGCTGTTCTTGGTTAATCATCCTGTTTCTCGCAACATTTCACTTCCCTAATAACTATGGTGGTCACCGTTTATTTTCAAGAGTTCTTAAGTGATTCTATTTCCCCAACCGTACCTCTCCTCATCCCATTTAAGATCCCCCCATCTCCTTTCCTATCGCCTTTCTTTCACTAAGATCTTGCTAAACATTAGTCACAGCACATGACCTCCAGTCTTCCAGTTTCTCGAACCAATATAAAAACAGTTGATTGGCGCGGTTGTAAGCTTCCTTAGTTTGGAATTTAAACTTGCTTTCAGTTTTTCAAATCTTAGTGAACTTTCACCACAAAACTTAAATTTAAAAATATTTTAAATAAAGAAACCAACCCCTTTAACCTTTAGTCCCGCCCATCACCTCCCCCCAGGCCTCCAGGCGAAACTCCGCAGGAAACCGGAGGGGGCGGAGCACTGACGTCACGACGCCAGTGCGTCACCGAACGGCGGCGGCTGCGGCGGCTGCGGCAGCGGCGGCATTTTAGTCAGCAGCGGCGGCGGCGGCAGCGGGCGTGCTGCTGCTCTTCCCAGCATCCCTGGCGCGGCCATTTCAGCCCCATCTTGGCCGAGGGGAGGGAGCTGCAGCCACCTCTTCAGCAGTTTGAATTTCAGTTTCTCCAGGGTTTACGGACCAGGCACGCTGAGGAGGAACTGAAGAAGTCGCCGCCGCTACCTCATACAGCCGGAGCGCCTCGGCTCGCCGGCCAGGCGTCAGGCGTCAGCCGCCGCCGCCGCCGCCCCTGCCCCTGCCCCTCACTCTCCGCGGAGCCGTGAGGGGAGGCCAAGACTGCAGCCGCCGCCCGCCTGCGGGGGAGGCTCTCTGTGAGGGAGGGCCGGCCGTCTCTCCCCTCCCCCGGAACGGGCTTCCGCCTCAGACGGTCGGCATGTCCCTGGGGCTGAGCTCTGGCTAGAGCCGGGGAGCGAGGGCCGCCCGCTCGCGCGCAGCCCGCTCGCGGACCTCCAGCCAGCCCGACCCGCGGCTCCAGACCCACCGCGCCTCCCCTCCCTACGCGTCGGAGAGCCGGGCGCCGCTGCCGGCACCGGCCTGAGGGGCACGAGCGGGGCAGCGCCGCCCCTCACGCCGCCGCCGCCGCCGCCGCCTCCTCTCCGCCCTCCCACTCCCACCCTAGCCTGGGCCTGCTGACCGCGCGAGCGCCGAGCCGCACTGACCGCGGCTGCCGGGACGGAGGCGGCGGCCGGCCCCTGGGATCACGGCTCTCCGTCTCTGAGGGGATTGAATTGAGGCGCCGCGGCTGCGGGCGGTGAAAAGGAAGGAGGAGCCGCCACGAGAGTGAGACGGGGAGGGAGGGCAGAGCCGAAGAGCCCGACGACGCCCGGAGGAAACGGCGAGGAGGATGTCTCACCGAGCGGCCGGCGCCCGGATGAGCCCGTAGCTACCCCAGCGGGCCTCAGACCCCAGCGCCAACTCGGACTTTGTCTTTAGGGGTCTGGCTCTGCCCCTCCCGATTTCCCCTAGGATCCGGAGGAGCCAACGTGCCTCTCTGCCCTCCAGCCTTCTTCACCATGTCCAAGATGCCGGCCAAGAAGAAGAGCTGCTTCCAGATCACCAGTGTCACCACTGCCCAGGTAGCCACTAGCATTACCGAGGACACCGAAAGCCTGGACGACCCGGACGAGTCACGCACGGAGGACGTCTCCTCTGAGATATTCGACGTATCTCGAGCCACAGACTATGGCCCTGAGGAGGTCTGCGAGCGCAGCTCCTCCGAGGAGACACTCAACAATGTTGGGGATGCGGAGACTCCCGGGACCGTCTCCCCAAACCTCCTCCTAGATGGGCACCTGGCCATCGCCTCGGCTCCCGCCAACGGAGGAGGAGCCATTCTGGCTCGGAGCGTGGCTGGGGCGCTCGCCAGTACCGTGGCGGCGGCCGCCACTCCAGCCCCCGCCCCCGGGGCTCCGGGTGGCCCCCCGAGCGCTGGGTCCTCCGCCGGACCGGGAACTACAGCTCCGTCTCAGCCCCCCACCACTTGCAGTTCCCGTTTCCGCGTGATCAAGCTGGACCACGGGAGCGGGGAGCCCTATCGACGCGGCCGATGGACGTGTATGGAATACTATGAGCGGGATTCCGACAGCAGCGTCCTGACTAGGTCCGGGGATTGCATTAGACACAGCAATACTTTTGACCAGACTGCAGAGCGGGACAGCGGCCTGGGCGCCACCGGAGGGTCTGTAGTGGTAGTGGTGGCCTCCATGCAGGGGGCGCACGGGCCCGACTCGGGAACTGACAGCTCCTTGACTGCTGTGTCACAGCTACCCCCGTCGGAGAAAATGAGCCAGCCCACTCCGGCCCAGCCGCAGAGTTTTAGCGTTGGGCAGTCGCAGCCGCCACCGCCGCCCGTAGGTGGGGCTGTGGCTCAAAGCTCGGTTCTGCTGCCGCCGTTTGCGGGAGCAGCTGCCGGGCAGCAGCCAATGATAGCAGCTGCCGCACAGCCAAGCCAGCTACAGGGAACTGGGCCCGGCGGCTCCCCTCCAGGACCGAGTGGACCAGGTCTGCCGCCTACGAATGTAACCCTGGCGCAGCCGGCTGCGTCCCTACCTCCGCAGCCGGTCCCAGCAGTCGGCGCTTCAGCGACGCAACATTCCCAGCAGTTCGCCTATCCCCAGCCTCCGATTCAGCCTGGCCATTTGCTGCCGGGCCAGCCCTCCGGCCAGAGTGAGTACTTGCAGCACCACGTGGCCGGCCTCCAGCCGCCGAGCCCTGCGCAGCCTTCCTCCACCAGCGCCGGAGCGACCGCCTCTACTGCGGCTAACTTTCCCATGGGCTCTGGCCAGAATGCCTCTTCGGTAGGCGCGCAGATAAGGGGCACGTCTTCCCAGCCCAGTGAAGCTGTTACTGCGGGGCCGGGACTAGCACAAGGCGGGCAGGCCGCGCCTTGTCAGCCGGCTGGGGTGTCCCCAGCTGCTGTAGGAGGCATGGTGCAGCCGGGCAAGGGTCCTACGGGGGTCGGGCAGCCCCAGTCTCTGCCTCCGCAGCAGATCGGTGGCAGTGGTCAGCTGTCAGTCGTGCCTGGTGGCCCTCACACCGTGGTGCCCGGAGTTCCAAACGTGCCTGCAGCCGTACCCGCTCCAAGCGTGCCTAGTGTGTCTACCACTTCTGTTACTATGCCAAATGTACCTGCGCCTCTGGCCCAGTCGCAGCCGCTGAGCAGCCATACACCAGTCAGCAGGAGCAGCAGTGTAATCCAGCACGTTGGGCTGCCCTTAGCTCAAGGCACACACAGTGCGCCAACGAGTCTACCACAGTCTGACCTAAGTCAATTTCAGACTCAGACCCAGCCTTTAGTCGGGCAAGTTGACGATACTAGAAGAAAATCAGAACCCCTACCTCAACCACCACTTTCTCTCATTGCTGAAAATAAGCCTGTTGTGAAGCCACCTGTTGCAGATTCTCTAGCAAACCCTCTTCAGCTAACACCTATGAACAGTCTTGCCACCTCTGTGTTCAGCATAGCTATTCCTGTTGATGGGGATGAAGACAGGTATGGAAATCTTTTATTTTAAATATTTGACAAAAATGCTTGGACAATTTAAGATGCAATTTTGGGAGGTTTTTTTTTAACTCTTTTATTTTTAAATATAAAACAGTTTATGTTTGGTAAAAATTGATTTAAATTGCTGAAGTAAAAATGTAATAAGAGTTGGTCTTGCCAGTTTTTTAAAAGCACTAGAATGAGTAGGGATGCAACACTTTATTCAAAAAGACAGATTTCAGCTTAATATTATTTTGAAGGTGGTAGCTACTATGCTCTAGGGTAGGCCTTTTCTTAGAGATAACCAATCTTGTTTGAACACTTCTGGTAGTTTTGTTAGTGTGTGTTTTGATGCTAAGACGGAAGTTTTTTGTTTTTGTTTTTTTATAAGTTTTCAATTCCAGAAAACCAGAAAGCTTTCTGGTTATTAAAAAAAAAGGAAAGAATCCATGTAAGGAATCTCCTCCTTTGTATCTGGAAAGGCTGGAGAGATAAAGGTGAAATGTCAAATTTGGGTTTTGAAGATCATTAATTATGAACTAAGTGCTCCCAAAGCTTCCCAGTGACTTCTCTAAGATAACTTTTTTGTTTAAGCAAAAAAATATATTGGAAAAATGCTTTTACCTTCTATAACTCTTTTTACTATCGGAAAGGGAAGTGTGAGATTCTTTCATAGTAGTAAAAACTTAAGCTCTTGAAATTAGTAATTTTATAGTAAAAGTGTAAACGTCAGTAGTTGGCTCCCTCTACGTAAGGGATGCTTTATTAATGGTTCAAGTAAAAACTGGTGTTTTGTTACACCATTTGCTATAACAGTTGATGTTTGACTTGGCTTAAGGAGAATTTTTGTGATTTTGAGGAAATACTACATGGAAGTTTGACATATATTGCAAATTTCTTAAAACTGACTTGTTACATTGTTTGCAAACTACATTTAAAAATTACAGAGAATATCTCATATTTTACAGTTCCACATTAACTTATTGGGATTTTTGAGGGGTTAGTTTTAGATATGTTAAAAGATCAAAACTTTTTATAGGTTCTAGAGTAATTGGTTTGTAGAAGAATACAATGTTATAATTCTTTTTCTTCCTATTTCTTAGTTTAACTTCCCATTTCTAATTAGCCTTATATTTTTGTTATATGCTTCTATTGGTTTGAAAAATGCTCACCAAAATTCATTCATCTCTGCTTTTTGTAATTCAAGTTCATCTTTTTTTGTAGGTGGGACTCTTATTCCACTTGAGAACTCTTAGAGAATACTGTAAATGAGCTCAGCTAGCCAGTTCTTGAGAGATTTTATATGGATGTGATCACCAAGTAAAGAATCTGATTCCACAAGCCAGTCAGAAAAATTCTTCTATTTTTCTGGTTGCTCCCATTTTCACACATAGGGACACACTTGAATAACTTGAAATAAACTTGTTTATTTTTTTACCTTTGCTAATAGTCAACAGGAATAGTCAACAGGAATCTTCCTTTTTCTAGCCGCCAGAAGCCAGTTTTACCTGATAAGTTTGTAAATAACCTTTTGCTTACCTTTGTGTTCCTGTACATTGCCCCATATCTCTTAAAGAAATGACTGCTTTCCCAACCTCCTTTCCTTTCCTTAAACATATATGTCTATGGATGAAGAATACATTTTCCCTCCTCTCCACACCTCTCAGTTTATAGAGTATGTAGTTATACGCCTCAGAACCTTAATAGGATGATATGGCATGAAGCAGGGATGCATTTATTTTCCTTTTGTTGTATTAAAAGGAATCTCTTTACCAAACGTGAATGTTTGAACTACCAATTCTGTATCATTTTTATCCTTTCAGCAGTTAAGCTATGGTGCAAGTGCGCAGTCCCATTTTAAACGTGGCATTTCTCTCCCTCACCCCAATCTCTTAAAATCTGCATTGCTATTCAGATGTGTATCTGCAGTGTTTGTTATAGTCTTTCATTGGTTATTAATTTAACATGTTAGTTTCCAAAATGTAATCTTACACATTTGATATTTTTGTCACTGGAACAACACACCTGGTGAAGGAATGAATCCATTAAGTAGAAACAGTATTTTTTTAAATGAAAAACTTTTGTAAAAGAGAGGACGTTTTAAAGTTTGATGCTTGAAATTAAGTAATACAGTTTTCCAGACATATTTTTAAATTACCGAGATGAATACTTTGAGGGAACAGTACTAAAAATTTTAATATCATGATTTTGAGTCTCCTTAAATTTGCTACCATTTTATTTGCAGTCATTCACATGTAAAATAAAGAAAATGGGAATGTGAGGTCAAGAGTAATTAAACTTTGTGAATAGGTTGACAAATTCATATCCTTAGAAAATATTATAAATAGCATGTTTTCTTTTTTTACAAAAAATAATTTAGGATTGCATTAGACAGTATTTTGAGAAATGGAAGGAAAATGGGAGATTAATAAACTCTTAAGTAGATTTTAGATTTATACATGGAAAATATCTCATGATTTTGGTTCCATTACCCAGTACAAATTACAGTCATTTATATTGAGTCTGGCCTTTGTTAATGCATCCTAATATTGTCACATCTTTAAAAGGCCTAATGGTTGTATATGCAAAAAGTTTTCAGTTATCATTGCCTGACCATGTTATCTTTGTAGCCATTCTCATTAGAAAAGCACATAGTTAGTTGTTGAGACTTTTTCAGATTACTTTTGTGTAAACTAGTGAATGTAATGATGATTGAAAATGCAGTTTATGTTGTGTGGCCACTTCTACAGTGATCCTTTAAAATTTTGTTTTGACTGTGTACACATTTAACACTCTTTTACTGTAAATGAGGAGAGGTATAAAATATTATTGGCCCTAAAAGGAGCACAGTGCAGGTTGCTTTCCATAGATAACCAGCCAATGTGAACTAAGTAAGCTGCATTCCAGGAACTCTTATGAATGACTGCAATTGTGAACTGTCAACTGCTGCCCAAGACTGTTGAAAACCTGTTGTAAAGATCCCTTAGTGGCAGATATCTCTTTATCTTATTAATGGTTTTATTTATGTAGTTTGTTAATGACTACTGATAAAATACTATAAATTGTGAATGCTAAGTGATGTGCTCTAGCATATGCTAGAAATATAACTTTTATACATATACATATTTTAATGGAGTCCGTTTTTTTTCCATTGAAATTTGAGGGCCTTGTGTCTGTTGATAGGCAGAATTGTCAACCTTTTGCTGTAAAATCTATAGGCACTTCTTAGAGCTATATTACTTGAAAGCCTTACTACATTTAAGTCTAAAATTGTGGAGTAATTTTGCTCCTCTGTCTTTACAGTTGATGTGTAAATCACACAAGAGGTGTATTATTCAGGTCCTGGGGCTACAGATATAGGTAAAGATAGTGTGCTTGGCTAACATGATGACTCCTTGGATTCAATCCTCAGCACTACAAGAAAAGAAAAAGACACTAGTTTGGAAATGGTGTGGTACTGGATTTATAGACCTATTACTTGCCTATTTGGAGTGGAGTTTATCTATTCTCTGCACCAGAGAGATTGAAAGCAGTCATGTTCTCTAGTCACTTCCATTAAGGAGAAGTATTCCCACCAAGGTAATGGTAAAAAATAAATCTCTTTCCTCATAAAGGAATAGGTTGGGAGAGTATAAAAGGATTTTGACTTTTTTTTTTTTTTTTTTTTCTTAAAATGACAAGAGTTGGAGATGGGGAAATACAAAGTGTTAGCAAATAAGATGGAAGAAAATTAGTAAGAATTACCTGAAATATGGTCTTAAGGAATGGGAAAACTTGTAAATGATGAGGAATAGTGGTCTAATTTTTTCCTTGAATAAATTGTTTTAGATCAGTATCTATTTTGTTTTCTGAAGATACACTATTTATTTCTTAGTTGTATTACTCTAACTGAGGAAGAAGAAGCTTTACAAAAGCAGATCTTTCTGGTTGAAGTCTAGCCTAAATGATATTCTCTAAGTATATTCCTTATAAATGAGAAAAGCAGATTTTTTAAAATTAGAAATTTTAATAGTTGACATTATTTATAGGACACGTTGCTGCAAAACAATTGAATTGAAAAAAATCTTTTTAAGCTTATAGTTTTTCTTTAAACTCAACCAGTGGGCTTGTGACTTGAGACTATCATTTTAGAGTTTATAAAACTAATCACTGCATTCACAAAGAATATACATAACTGAAACACTGACTTAATGTCTTTCCCACAGCAAATCTTTGACATACTAAATTACTCAATATTTATTATGTTCTTAATCTGACATTATTTAGGGCAAAAATAGGATATCTCCCATTAAGATTTAGGGGAGAATAGCCATTTTATATCATTACTATGCATCATTCCATGACAGTAATAAATATATTGTTTATACTTGAGTATTTATATTTAAGATATATTATTTGACAGCTTTATATTTAAAATATTTGCATAATTTCTACTTTTAAATCAGGTGAATTAACTTGCATATGTGCTACTCTGGATCTCTCAGATTTAAAACCCCAAATCAGACTTAATTATATGGTCTTATATTTTTTTGAACTCATATCAATAATTGTTTTTAAAAGAGAGAATGAGTTCTTACCCTTTAAGTTGTACCCTTTATGTCGTGGTTAAGTGAAAATTGTGCAGATAACTGAGTTTAGTAATTTTGTTAGTGTTCACATATTAGAGTAGACTAGATAAGTAAGTGAAATCTGAATGTTAAGTTACTTAAAATCTTTTCTATAAGTTTTCACTACAATTTGGCTAAAGAGTATTGTATAAAGATAAACTCTGTGATTATTTTATAAATAATGCTGGCATAATATTTTAGGCTATTTCTATTGCACAAGTAAATTAATCTGTGAATAAAAGATTTCCAAAGTAAAACTTAAAGCCCATCAGTGTTTAAAATAGAACTAGAATTAAGTACAGTATTACCAACTAGATTTACGTGTTAATCCAAAACAAATCCTTTATGTAGTTTAGCCTTTGAAAACAAAACAAATATAAAAAATGAGAGGGAATGCTCTTT